GGGCTGTCTTGCCGTTTTCATCACTGTCTTTCTCGGCATCAGCTTCCACCAGCAAACGGGTAATAGCCAAGTGACCATTCCTGGATGCGAGCATAAGGGCGGTCATGCCGCTATCGTCCACGCAATTTGTATCTGCACCAGCTTCCACCAGCATCCGTGCCACGTCCAAGCGACCACTTTTGCATGCGAGCATTAGGGCCGTCATGCCGGACCTGCCTTTGCAATCCTTGTCGGCACCAGCTGCCACCAGCAAACGTGCAATCTCCAAGTGGCCACTCCTGGATGCGAGCAACAGGGCTGTCTTGCTGTCATTAGCACAGCAAGCTTGGTCGCTGCAGCCGTCATTGCAATCCTTGTCGGCACGAACTTCCAGCAGCAGACGCACAACTTCCAAGTGGCAAAACTCAGATGCGAGCACTAGGGCCGTCTTGCCGTCATGGCGCCAGCAATTGGTCTCAGCACGAGCTTCTGCCAGCAAACGTGCAACTTGCAAGTGGCCTGCTCGCGCTGCGTGCATAAGAGCTGTCATGCCGGATTGGCCGTTGCAATCCTTGTCTGCATTGGCTTCCACCAGCAAATGTGCAATCTCCAAGTGGCCACTCCTAGATGCAAGCATTAGGGCTGTCTTGCCGTCATCGTCAACTCTGTCTAGATCAGCACCAGCTTCCGCCAGCAAACGCGCCACTTCCAAGTGACCATTCTCAGATGCGAGCATAAGGGCGGTCATGCCGCTATCGTCCATGCTGTTTGTATCTGCACCAGCTTCCACCAACATCCGTGCCACGTCCAAGCGACCACTTTTGCATGCGAGCATTAGAGGAGTCTGGCCGACTTCGTCCGTGCTGTTTGCATCAGCACCAGCTTCCGCCAGCAAACGTGCCACTTCCAAGTAACCCTTCTCAGATGCGAGCATTAGGGATGTCTTGCCGTACAGCCCAATGCCACGCTGATCATCGTGGGCACCAGCTTCAAGCAAGCATCGGACCTTGAGAATATGGTTCTCTGCAGCAGCATTCGCCAGGTCTTTGGCAGCTACAGCTTGTAAACCTGGCGACAGGCTGGAAACGGTCAACAGCACCAATTGCAAATCCATGGCTTCATCCAGCTTGGCATCATCAGTTAAGAGCATGCCGCCATGCAGCAGTCGCTGCACATACACCGGGAAGCCGCACGAAACACACAAGTGCTTCTTCACAGCACCTGCATCCGTGAGTTCTTCTGCACTCATTGCGGCCAACTCTTGCCCGGAAGGTCTCCATACACGAAGCATTGCCGAAGAAGGCGACGACACTTCGACAGTCCTTCGTCCCTGATGACCCAGGACTTAAAGCCTCAACCCCACACCCTGAACTCTATGCCATAGCTCATCTACGAAGTTGCTGACTTCTCTGGCCCCCAGACGCCGTGACCTGTCAGTGATAGCAAGCATATGTTATAATTATATGAACTTTCCAACAGCCACCTAAGCTTTACCAACTCGGCCACGGTGTCTAACGATTCAGCCCAACCCTGGCGGAGTCTCACGCAGAAGGAGGCTGCGAGCTGGTTCTGTAGTTGCTTGCAACCCGCTCCACGGTTCAGAGCAGAGTTCAGGGCTTTGGGTAGTTGTCAAAATTATGGTCCCTTTTGGGGTACCCTGAATAATAGGTGCCGTATTATAATAAGGACCCAAAAGGGACCATAATTTTGACAACCACCCAGATGTTCATCGACTTGCTTGGGGATGGACAAGCTACTGTCTGTTAGAAATACAGTTTGATTACCCCGCCACGTAGGGCAGGACTAAAAGACCGGCAATGCCAAAAATAGGGCAATCGAAGCGGCTGCAAACAGCAGCCACTGTTTTGTAGCCATTTTCCCCGCAGCCATAAAGCCGACAGAGCAATCCCAACATCCTCCGGCATGTGCAAACATAATATGCGACGTTATTCTTCGTAAATTAAGCTTAAGGGGGCATGATGGGCAACGCCGAAGTATCTCAGCTCCTATTCGTTCGCACAGCTCACGACTCACTTTTGCCTAGGTGCTGACTTCCCCGGTCCCAGATACTGGCAAGCTTCCTTACAGCCAAGAATAAACCAGGTTACCTGATCGGTTGCTGAGGTCAAGCAAGTTTAGGAGCTGTCAGGGGGCCATTTTATATGGCTAAGGGCAAAAAGGTTGAGCGTGGATCCCTTCAGTCTTTGGGGATGCCTCTCCTACACTTGCACAGACTTAGTCATTTACTTCTCTGTGCCTCTTCCTTCATCTTTAGATGTGTCTCCATTTCTTCTACGGTATCCGCGATCCCCAGCAACCAAACCATAAACCCTACACCTTGAGGCCCCGAAACCCTGAAGCCGTCGGGTTCCTTCCAGCCAGGGCCTCTTAGCACGAGATGGCTCTTCCACGACGATTCTTCACAGCTGTTATGATGACGATTCAGTATTCTTTGCCCCAAGAACTTCTAATACGACTAAACTTACTGTCGGTACCACTATTCCTGTTATTTCCATTCTTA